CTTCTATATGGTAAGATTGCTTTCTCCGGCTTCAAGCTTTCTTAGGTCTAATTGAGTTTGGGTAGAGTCAATACAACTAAAAGGGTTTTTTTTGTAAGTCAAAACATGAGACCTAAGTGAAGTTGTCCCATTTTTTGAAGGATCACAAGCAAATACCTTATCACAATAGTTATATTTAACCTTCATGTTTTTTTTGTCATCTTCAAATTTTATGAAATGATCCCACACCATCGATCTTGGCTTCATTGATTTCCTCTTCTTTCCTTTGCCATCGTCTTGAGTGTTACTTGGAGTTGCACTTGATTGTGGATTAGGATTGCTTGAATCCACGGTTTCATAATTCATCTCTATGGATTGAAATTGTGACATCTACATAAAAACATAGGAAAAAGAGTATTAAGCTTCACAGTTCACACTCCTTAGTCCTTAAGCTTAAGCCAAAAAAAAAAAAAACAATCTAGCTAGGCGGTAGGCCTATCGTCGACGACCGGTTGGCCTACCGCTCTGCTGTTAATAGGCCTATCGGTAGGCGGTGTATGGCCACACACACCGACACACACAAAGCTGCGTAATTTGCGGTACTATAAAATTCGGTTAAAATTCCTTAGTTGAGTGAATCAAACGAGTTTATTGACATACAAAGGATGATCCAGATTTAAACTAGTTAATCTCTTGTGACGAGCAAACTGAAACCATTTAATGTCATATGGAATCTATTTATAAAAGCACATCAATGTACGGATAAGGAAAAGTTATATGAAAGTATGAAACCACTCAACCCAAGTAAATCAAATACAATGATTCAGCTTCTTGATTTACCACATCTTCCATGGTTGTGTCCACCTATTCTCACACCACCACCTTTCCTTTAAACTCCTTTCAAATAGATATATTAAACCTATTTTACGAGAGAAATTTGAGTTTAAATTCCTACAAAAGAAAGCTTGGTGCATGCCTTACTAAATCCTAGCATAATCTTCATAGTATGTTCCATCATGTGAAGCCCAAATAATTACCATTTAAAACAAAACAGAGAAACAAAGCTCGCTAACAATCAACAAATCTAACCAATGATCTCCCCATCCTTGCCATACGATCACTTGTATATTTCTACAAAACAACTAAGTACAATCATGAAAGCGATCGTTTCAAAACCAATAACTTGTTACAAAACTTTGCTTTAAAAAACGTTGCTTATTTCTAGCTTTTTAATTGGTGGCTCAAACATTCAAAATTTTTTAATGTCCTATTCTACGGTATGCCCATGTATAGCATTGTTTTCTTGACAAATCAAGCAGAAAAAATTACAGACACCTTGCATACTTTGCTTATATAGAAAAATAATTCTTTCATCTTTATCTTCTCTACTCCAACTAAAAAGTAATAAATTTTAGTTGTTGATTTTGCATTACAAATTTGGATAACTACGATATTATTTTTTGAATTCAAATATTATAAATAGTATAAATTTATTAAAAGCAAAAAAGTGCAAAAAAAAAAACTATCCACATTTGCTTGTTGACTTGCATATATGATATATCTAATTTTGTTTTTATATAGTACCATTCTAAAAACTTGAGTAAATAATTACATGGGTCTAGAAATTGATTTTTGCATGCATCCGATGCAGTATAGATTCTTTTGCTAATTTCAAAATCTAGTTATGATTCAAATTTGTCGTTAGATTATCTTCCATCAATAAACCAAGTACACTTTGTTTGCAATATAAAAAAAGTAATTGAGGATACAACTATGCGTTCGGATGGCACATATTGGTTACTCGCTTAATAATATTTGTATTGCACCAACTTTTTAAACTCTTTTCAAATAGATATATTAAACCTATTTTACAGAGAAATTTGAGTTTAATTTTCTACAAAAGAAAGCTTGGTGCATGCCCTACTAAATCCTAGCATAATCTTCATAGTATGTTCATCGTGTGAAGCCCCAAATAATTACCATTTAAAACAAAACGGAGAAACAAAGGTTACAAAGTCGCTAACAATCAACAAATCTAACCAATGATCTCCTCATCCTTGCCACACAATCACTTGTATATTTCCACAAAACAACTTAGTACAATAGATTAATAGTACCTACGTACCGCCAAATCCGAGAGTGAGAGAGGCGAGAGAGAACGTCCAAACGCAGCTAGGCGGCGCCACAACGGCGAGCGAGGCAACGACAACGAGGCAGCGACTAGCGAGGCGAGTGAGGTAATGACGGCGACATCGACGGCGAGGCGGGCGGGCCGACAACAAGGGACTTAGGGAGTTAGGGTTAGGGATTTGATATTTGACTATTTGGATGGAAATGACTAAATGAGAAATCGATGCGAGAGAGTGAGAGTCCGAGAGAGTCGAGTGAAATCAAAAATAGAAATTTAGGTTTTTCGGTTTGAGTCGAAATTTAGAATAAATTTTGGTTTTCGATTTGAATCGAATTTTTTTAAAAAAACCGAATCGAATCGAAATAAATTTTGGTTTTTTGATTCGATTATAAATAATAAATTTTAAATTCAAAACCGAACCAAATACCTTAATACGATTTGGTTTTCGGTTAACCAAACTGTTTGCACACCCTTACAAAGTGGCCAGTCAATTTTTTTTTAAATAAAAAAAAAAACAAAAGATGAATGGTGCATGGTCACAAAGGATGACGTTATTCACCTTGTAACTTCCGGCCAACATTTATTCATCAAAAAAATTGAGATTATGAGGTTTTTTTTTTGCAAACCCAATATTACTTTTATTTTTCTCTAAAATACTATAAAATAACTAAAAAAATCTTAAAAAAATAATTAGAAATCTTAAAATTCATTTTAACACACTTAAGAAATACAAAGACTAAATCAAATTTAAATATTCAAATATTATTTAGGGTCTGAATCTTTTTTTTCATGATTTGAGATTATTATAAATAATTTTTTTTTGTTAAAATGACCAAGATGAACAAATCAAAAGTAAGATCGATAATCAACATAACCAGAAAAGGGGGATTGTCTTTATTTTCTCTTTCTCTCTCTTTTTCATCTTTTTGTTTCTTCATATCTACTTCTAGAGGTCAAATTGTGATGTAAATGAAATTAGAAATTGAATAAAAATATTAGAAAACTTAAGGGATTAAAATATAATATTGGTTAAAATTCATCTCTCAGCACCTTAAAAAGAAAAAAGAAAAAAACATCAAAATCACAATAACGTCACCGTTGACAGTGAAAATACACGAACAATAATTTGTGTCAGGGAAAACATTGTTTATTGAAAAGTTAAAAACAAATGTTTTAGTTTTTTTTTAAAAAAAATTATATATATAAAAGAAAAAAAAACGAATAAAAATATTAGATCATGGGTCATGCGATGATGAGACGGGTGAATTCAGGTCATATTGTCATCCATCTTGATAAAATGCCAACCCAACCAAATTCAATAACGTCAAATATTTGATGTGATGGGTGAAATTGTAATCGCAATAATTATGGGTGAATTTGTCGACTGCCAATCAGATCACTGACTCTCTTCCTCCACTATTTTCTTATTCGTACAAATTGAAAAGGATAAATTTTATTTCTACTCTTTTTTAAATTAATTATGTTCTATTTTTACATCTGTACATTAAAATTTTCCAAAGTTAGCTCTATAGTTTCTAAGTTTTTTGTTTAATCACTATGAGCTTGTTTGACCTTATTTTGTTGTATTGTGAATGCTGTGTTGTGTTGTGCTACTTTATTTATAAAATTAAACACATTAACTTTGTTGGTAAATAAATAATGTATTGTGCTACAAGTAAAATCACTTAAATGTTTGGTAATTTATTGATGTTTTGTTTGAATTAAATTACTATTAACGGTATAATTTCAAGATTTTCACTAAAAATTAAAAATAAATTACTTTATAACATGAAAATATTTTCATCATTAAAATAAAAAATCATGGGTATAATATAAGTTAAAAAGAGAGAGAGAGAGAGAATATCGTATGTCATTTTCTTAAGCTATGTAATATTGAGATTTTTATGGTTTAAAATTATTTTTATTTCTTAAATAAAATAAGCAACTTTCCAATTCAAAAATCATCATTTATCATGCTTTTGAAGTGAAAGCTAATATTTTTTTTAAAATAAAAGTTACTTTCCACTGTAAAAAATCAAGCAACTAATTTTTAAAATCCTTACTAAATACTTTTTTTTATAATAGTAATTTAATCACTGTCTTGGTATTGTTTTGATGAACGAGCCATTCTAAAAAAATCATTAAATTTACCATATATTCATCACATTTCTTAATTTGTGTCCAATTGGATTGAATTGAGAGCAATATAGTCTCCTCTTATATTGTAAATTCATCGTAATTTGTTTAAAATATTGTTGAAATGACAAAATGTCATGAATGTAGAGTAAATTTGACGGAATTTTCTTGTAAGAGCTTTTTACCAAATTGACACAATGATCAGGACATCATTTCCCTTTTGGAAAATCTTTCTTTCCCCCCACCCCCCAGATTCACAGTACATGTTATGATATCCCACAAACACTCAAAACAACAAATTCAAAACCCTGGTTATTAAGGGCTAGTGGATAACATTGACAGATTTTAAAGTATAAGAACATAAGTAGAATATAGATGAACCGATAGGGCAAACATGAAGTTTTCCTACGGAAAATATACAAACGGTAGAACCATCCATTACCACAGGAAGAGGGAGTCTGTATGAATGTTTAGGAGTATATTACCACATGAAGTTTTGTTAAATTAGGGTTAGGGTAGGATTTATATATATATATATATATATATAACTAGTAGTTAATTCCCCATTTTATAATTAATTAATGATAAAAACCTTCTCTATTGAGAGTTTCCTATACTACGTTTCCCTATCAAAATATCAAGCCTCACTCTTTTTCCGACAATCAGACTTGTTTTTTAGCTGGGGTCAAGGAGCAGGTGAATCTCTGCCGTCTCATCTCATCTGGGCTTTACCGCCCTCTGGCCATTGAAATCCATGATCATCAGCGTCTCATGGACCCTTGTCAACCTCACACCGCTTTTCCCATCAGTGATCATCAAGAAGATGATGAGTGGGGTATTTCTAGTTTTCTTTTCCTTATTTCTGTTTGCTTCCCGAGAAAGTAACTTTCTGATTGTTCTGAATTAAGGTTATAATTGATGCAAAGGGTTCATTAAGAAATGGGTTTTCTGTTTGTAAGTAATGCTAATTGAAATTTTAGTTTTTGATTGGATCGATGTGTTGGTTTTGATGATTTTTTTTATTGAATTTTGAATATGGGGTTTAAATCGAAATTTCGGTATGTTTATGACCATGATATTGCCACTATTGTCGGCCACATTACCTAGAGTTGAGTAACTCTGGTTTTTCTTGAAGATTTGAAGTGGTGATGTTTTTCTAGCTAAATATCAACAAGTTCTTCTGCTATCTCCGCCCCGCCAAAAGTGTCTTGTGTTAGACTTGGCAAATTCTTACCTTTTGTTATGGTGATGTATCATTACTCAAATTCTTTCTCAAAGATTTGATTAAAATTTAATCAAAATTAAATTTGATGATTGAGTGGTGAAATTAAATATTAGTATTAATACTTTCCTCATTGAGTAGAAGTTATGTGAAAGAAACAATTACCTGTAAAATACAGAAAGGTACTCCATGACACAACAATTGTCTAGTGCTAGAGCAAACACTGTGTCATCCATAATGGGCGGATGCATTGTCTGTGCTCTGTCTTATGTGTAGCGATTGTGTGTTCACTGATTTTAATGCAATAATCTTTGCTCTAGCTGTGATGTCACTTTTATGATACTTGGTATTCTTTGTGATTATTTATCACAAGCTCACAACTGCTGTTGCATCCAGTGCTTTGGATGCAACAGCTGTTGCTTCGGCAATCCGGTATTCGGGGTTGGCATCAGTTGGTTTGTCAGAACAGCTCAATCACACACCCTGTGCTTGAATAAGTTCTATTTCGCTTATTTGCATCATGCCATCAGTCATTTGAGAGAGAGAGAGAGAGATTGTTTTATCAGTGATTTGTTAACTGAGGTAGAATATGAAATTATTGAGGTGGATGGGTCATGCTTGTTGCTGGGAGAGCAGCTATTTTCTCTTCAATTCTTATTTGCATGCTTTTGTTCATGACAAGTAGTTAAACGATTTACTGCAATGCAATTTCTGAAAATTGTAGTTACACTTGTGGTGATAAAAATTCTTGGACTTTGATTTTGTGTTAGACACCGATGGATTTGTGATTCCAAGCTTGGGGATAGAAGATACAGATCAAACTAAACCTGGTGCATCAGATTTAGAAATTGTAAAAACTCCATCTCCGAAGGTCAGTTTCATCTCTATCTTGAAACTTGAAAGAAAAGTAAAATCATAGTTGCAGAGGATCTGATTCGCCTGCTGATTAAAATCTTGCATTTTTGGACATAAAAATATTTTCTAGTTGTGTGACTGTCCTGCTTTTTCCCAGGCTAAAATAGAAGAGAACATTTACTTAGGACCTCACGGGGCCCCGCCTTCACAATCAAAGCAGCAAGAATTGAACTCTTCTGGCCGTAAACAGCGGTTCAAGCAGAAATTGAAGGAAGCCGATAAGAGGGTTAGCGGAACTGGGCGGGAGAATAAGTTGGAGAACTTAAGAGAGCTAGTAGGTGGTGGAAAAGTGAGTGAAAATATGACGAAGGCTTCTTCTAGGGATTGGCTAGATCCACATTGCCATGAGTCGCAGTTTGAGAAGTGGTGTCAGCAATGAGTGGCGGTCTAGTAGATAGTTAATATATTTCCCTTGGTTTTAATTTGGCTGCTTACATCTTTGGAGGTCCGAATTTCTTGAGATCGTGTACTTTGACAACAATCCTTTGGGTGGACTATTTGGTATTTGCTGCTATCGCAGGAATATCAGCATGGCAATAAACATTGGATATTTGAATACAAGTTTTTACAATAATCTGCCTGGACTTTTCGAAGTACCGAGGTTTTTTTTATAAACCTTGGTCTTGCCAAAATTGGAAAGGCAACCATAATAATTTCTTTTCTTTTGTTATTCTGTTATTTTACTTTTACGATCCCTCTACTTGTTCTATCAAGTCTATGGAGATGCAGGTTTAACTTTTTTTCCTTTTTTTTTACTTTTGGGAATATGATCGAAATTACCGACCAAAAACAGAGAATACATACCCATGGAAGAACTAGAAAGACCTGGAACGGACGCGACGTATCAATCTAACCCAGCACTGCAAGCAGTGGTAAGTTGAAGCGGCAAGATTAAATTCCTGGCTAAGGAGTGCTGCTGCAAGTATTTGGCATATTGGAGTCGATTTTCCAACAAGCTACGTTAGTTTTAGCATGCGTTAACCTCAAAATGGTTGCATGCACAGGACAGGAATTGCATCAACCATGAAACTTTCACTAATACACATGGTTTGTGGACAATCACAGTTTTGTTCGTATTAGTTAGATATGGAGGATAAGGGATTCGCAAATGTTTTAGATACAGCAAACGTTAAAGAGCGTCACGCAGCAAGGTTGAGATATTATTTACACGAGCATGTCATAAACTGGCACCTGCACGGTTTTAAATTCTTTCGTAAACCTCAGAGGTTCAATTAGCCCAGTTCATTTCGCGTTGCCTTTGCACATCTCTTGCTCCTGGGAGGCCCTAAACTGCCAATCCATTAATGGATAATGAATTAGATCCTTTTCTCATCGTTTTGCAGACTGACAGGTTGGGCCTTCAATTGGAAAAGAATTGCTCTCGTCTCTCTCGCAAATGGCATATCAGTACAGAAGCATACAGCATTTGAACTCAACTAGCCCCGTGCCCGTGTGTTTTCTTTCTTGCTGATTATGGTTTGCCATCTCCCAACAATTTTTGAGGTTGACTAGCTATAATCTGAAAACAAAAACGAAGAAACCAAATATAGGAGAAATCTCTTTTGTTAATATGAGGTCTTAGTTAATCCGAGTCTATAATTTCTCTTCTTCTTTCTTTATGCCATGAAATGGATGAGTTCTCGGCGGTTTTTCGACTCATTTTGATTATTTTATGGAGAAAGGCCAGACACCCAAATGGAGGTGTACTGTTTTCTAGACTATTTGTTGCTTATTGTATTCTTATTTATGGCTACGAAACTGCTTTTGGGGATTGATAGTTTGCTTGTTTTAAAGAACCGTGGAAAATGGGCGAGGGAGAGAAAATTGGTTGGGTTGTTTCTTTTTTGAGCAGCAGATTTACTTGTGGGCTTATTTATCCCAAACATTCTGAAGCAACGCAAGGTGTCTAAAGAACTATGCTCTTGTACCCTGTAATGATATGGCTCCTGGATCAGTTTTATCTTCAGTTTCACCATTGGAGCCCGGGGGAACTGTGAGCCTGTTGTTTGTGCCATGATTTTGTGTCACGAATGGTATCGGTATCTTCTACTTCTATGTTCTTGCATCTAAAATTAGATAATGTGCAATGCTTTCTTCCAAGATGTAAACTTTTTTAACATGCATGTGTTGATGCTGCTGAAGTGGTCTTCATGTCCTGATATGCTTGGCCCCAAAATATTAGTTCAATTTAAACAACTGTCGATTGTGAGAAACAACTACTTGTCTTGTCCTTGAAGGACTCAGTGATTTAATTGTTTTTGATATCTTTCAGAGAGATCTAAGTGGGCTGTAACTTTTTTTAGGAAGTAAGCAGACTGTATGTTCTGGTTACGGGGATTCCTATGGCAAGTTACTGGGTAGTGTTCTCCTTGTACACTCATTAATCATTGATTTCCTTTACCCTTAAGCCAAAACAATAGCTCTTTATTCAGCTCATTTCCTGGAAGTCGAGGATTCTCAATAAATCAGAGCTTTAATGTGCTATCATTAGAAAAACAAGAAGGCTATTTTTTTTTATTTTTTTTTTGGGTTTTTACAGCGCAATGCGTTATCCAATTGATGCTGTGTTGTTTCTGCTGTGCTGGTCATGCGGTCCAAACTGCATTTTGGTATGGATTTTCTGTGAAGTTCATAATTTATCCCATAATATATGCTCTTCCTATCATTCTGTTTCTTGATCCACGCTTCCTGAAATCTGGTCAGAAGTCTCTTCTTGAGGATTGAAAATCTAGCCCAGAGAAGGCATCCCAAAGTAGTAAAGAAGTGTCTCACCTATATGGCAAATGGACTTAATTGAAAACCATCTCTACAAAAAGGAGAATTGTATTGGGCTGGTCCATGGAGCTGTTTTCCTCTTCTGTACTGGTCTTTTCTTCCATTTATATAGATGGGAGTTCTTAAATGAGGCCCTGTTGTACCATCTTATTCGTACAGATCCAAGCACAACTTTGCTATCAAATATATTTCCATGATATGCATGAACTTTCAGTGAAGGGAAAGCTCGTCTCTTTTTTTGCCTCAACTGATAACTGGTTCTTGTTTTATTGCTTTGCCTTGATCTTCCATTTTGCGTTTTTTTTTTTCCCTTCAAACGGTGACTTTTGTAACATTCATTAAGATTTTTGTTGTCAATCATTCACTGCATGTTTATTGAACTTCCATGTAATAAAATCAGAATTCAATTTATTCACTTGTTCATCTATTTATTTTTAATGGAATTTTTTATGTGAAGTTTCTAATTGTATTCTTTGCTTTATATTATTGTTTTTTTATTATTTAAGGAGAAAAATTTCCACTGTTACATGTATAATTTGATTTTCCTAACATTTTGTGTTTTCCTCCCCTGACAGGCAATCAAAGCACAGTATTTTGTATGGTTCTTTTGCTTGTTACATGCATGGAGCAAAGCGAAGTTGAAGCTGGAAGGTTTATGTTGCATGCTCTTATGGATGGGAGCTCAAACCCATTGGTTGTTCTGGGGTCATTTGCTTGAATTTGAGGACAAAAATGTTTTTCTACGGCTTTGATTGGCAAGCTTAATCTTCCTGGCTGCCAATACATTTGTATTGGTCAAAGTTTATACAGCACCGTAGATACTCTTCTGTGTTCAAGTTCCAAGGATAGATTAAATCTGAATGATAGAACTTCTGTCTTCAACTTTTTCCCTTTTTCTTTCTTGAACAAGAGCCAATGACTTCATTGAAATTTAAGGATCTTTGTAGTTGCATCGTTTTGACATTTTATTTCCGATGCCTAGCTAAAAGTTGAGGAGTTGGACAAGTTGTGATTTTCTCAATTTTCTTTGTTATCTGTTACAAGCCACATCAAAATGGCTTCAAGGTACTCTCTCCTCTCATAATCTTGAACACTGATGCATCTGTTGTTTACTTGGGTAGATTATAGATGCACTTGGCTATATGATGGAGGGTATGCACAAATTTGAGACAGCATTTCTTACTGCTGGTTATGTCATATAATCTTTAATAAGCTTCTTCTCATCCGAAGAATGCTTTTGATTTCGTTTGTTTGGATTCATTAACAAGAGAAGTCATCATCATCATCTCACAAAAGAGAGATTAATGAGGACGGAAAAAATCATCTTTAAAAAAAGGGTTTCAAGGCACTCGATGACTTTTGCATTTGACACTTACAATACAAAGCATTTACAATGAGAGAACACGTAAAAACACAAGCCATATGTGTCTTATCCTGCAAGATAATGCAAAATATCGAAAATATTGTGAGGTTAGTAGCATGATTTTAAAAAATAGTCGTTACATAACGTAACAATCGTTATATAACGAGTAATGGGAGAATCTATTATCGTTATTCGACGTTACGGGTGTCCCGACAATGTTTCACTCCTATAACGACAAATAACAACGTTACCATTATATAACGACAAATACTCGTTATGTAACGCTGTTATTTGTTGTTATATATAAAAAAAAATTAACGATTGAAATTCAGCCAAGACAGGAACAACTAATCTTTGGTGAGACATGTGTTTCTTTTTTTGCTCCTACAAAACAATTTTTTATTTGATTTCAAAATAGTGATTCAAATTTCAAATGTAAAGAAAGAGGACAGGACATGACAATTACCATTGTACTTTTGTTTGTTTCCTGTAACTTTCTTTGCTCTTTAAAGTCAATCTAACATCATCGGATAAGGAAAAACTCGAAGCAAGTCAACAACTCGTTTATAGACTTTATGGTTTCATCTTCTTCTTCTTCTTTTTTTTTTTTTATAGGAATATTTTATAGTTTTAGAGCACGAAAAGTTACCGACTTGCAACTTGTAAGAGTTCAAAGTTCGGAGAATAAGAATATAAGCTAGAGGCATCGAGTTCTAACAAGAAAAACCCACTTGCCACAAGATTAATTCGGATTTTAGAGAATAAGACTATTTATATACTTAAATAAATTAAAAATAAGTCCTTTTATTTTTTTTTAAAAAAATTTAGTTAGTCCTTTTTATTTCATAAATCAATAATTTAATTATTTTTGTTCATTTTATATTGTTATCTAATTTATTTTTGTTTTTATTTTAAAAAATATAAAAAAATTCATACCATAAAAAGATTGATGAAAAAAATAGTTATGAAATAAAATATATTACAATAAACATGAGCACTATTGATTAAAATCTTGAATATTTAGTTTTAAAAACATTAATGATTAATTAATTTATTTATCAAACTAAGAGACTAATGTATAATTTCATTTTGTTTTGAATGTTGTCACTCGAGTTTCACTATCTTGAATGCGTCTAGGTCCTCCAGGACTCCAAATTCCAAAGCTTACAAAGCAAGTGCTTTGCTTTATTGAGCAAACTATAAATTAGTCCTTTTAGTTTGAAAAAATAAATTAGTTGGTT